ACTTGGACGAAATCGAAGAAAGATAGTTGCATGACAATTGTACAATGTAATCTGCGAAACACTAAAAAAACTGCAATTGAAACAGATTATCAGCATTTCGACTGCTCGAGTGTATGGAAAATTGCTTAAATGGCTGAGGTCACGTACCGATCTTAAAGTGGTGTTTGCAGCGGTTGTTCGCACACGAATCATGCAAGTTGGACTTGGAAATTACAGCGGAAAGTCGCAGCTTCAGGTCGAAGACGCCAAACTGACTTAAATAGCAAATGGCCCTGAGGCAGCCATTGAATCCATTGCCATCATATTGCACTGCTAATACCGGTCATTCGTTAAGTATGCTGGAGTACAATCTGGAATAATCTACTCTGCTCAGCTTGGGTTTTGTGCTACAGTGTGTTCACAAATCGAAATGGGCCAAGAAACTGCTTAAATGCAGATTACACCAGTAATTCAGAGAAGTCGTCATCTCTTGTTATCATGCAATCATTTTGGTGACCCAGGATCGCGATCGATCTAAGCGAATTTAAGCTACGGATTCGAGGCAATTTACATGCGAGGTGAGCGATTCCAACTATTTTGAGATCTGCACGGGTGTTCATGGTATGCGACCTGAGTCTCGCACATATGAGTTGAGCAAAACCAACCAACCGACATTCGAAACGGATCAACACATGATGATGGAACTGCGTCTCCAGCGCTTTTGGGACGTACAGAAAGCAAAATCATGCGCAAAAATATGATCGAAGCTGTTTCGCTGATGTGCTCATCAGCGCGGAATGTCAGGAGATTTCTAGTTGTCTCCTGCGATTCCGCCGGTTTGTCACGCCGCCGGCAAGCTGTCGCTCGTGTGAACCAAACCATATAATAATATCAAACAATGTAACACATTTACACAGAATCTGGTGTTTGACTGCTCTCAATTATATTGTTCGTTGATAAAATTGTTGCTGTTGTTTGTGTAGCTTATGTACTTGAAAATTACAAATAACTATTCGGAAAGGTAAAAAATCAGGCAATCCTCGTTCGGCCAGATTTATGCATACTTCAAGCAAACTATATGCATATCGGTGCTGAAGACAATTTGGGACCTTTTCTTGCTATTTGTACGGCACGCACACTAGTATTGGCCTGTCGTGGCCCACCTGTGCTCTACATGTTGCGGCACGCTAAATACACGTACTCATAATCGCATTACTATTGTGGCGTCATACGCGTAGTTTGAAAGCGAAATAAGCATGCGCAATCATAGCCTGTCAAAGTTCCTTGGCTATCTCGGCTCGGGATGGTGCCATCACAATCCAATGCACACAACGATGGATATGAACACGCCATGGACAGAGGCCGTTGATCACACTTTACATCACAGGTCAAACGCTTTGGTTCGACTTCCGTGGCAACCTTGGTGCACACGGTACTCAAACGCACTCGGCGCGCTTTGTACGACAAGACTTAATTCAACTTGTCTTACAATCGAACCAAGAGAAGCCACGTGCAACACTCGGGCTCTCTTTAGCTACCAGAGCACGCATGCCTCTTCTTTCGTCCACCAGAATTCACACCCAGGACCGCGGACCTAACTCACAGTCCTCTTACGCGTACCATGCTCGCTATCTCGCAGCACTGCCCCACAGCTCCAATTCACATCACCAGCTCAACGAGCTGATAAACAATCGTGACGCCATGCACAAAAGTAGCAAAATCGAGGCCGATCGTTGGGTAGCCGTCCTCGCCATCTCAATGAAGTCGGCGGGCATAAGCGCGGCCATGATCATCGTAGCCTCGTCTGAGACAGTCCTAAGAAGCCCCATAATGCTAATCCCACACAAGAGTAAAACCCGATCCAAGTGTTTCAAACGTTCAAAAGAGCTGACCGCTGACACCCAGATGGGTGCAACATAGAACACGGAGGGATCACCATCGCGTCCACTAGACGCTTGACAATAGTCGGATGAAACCCCCAGATGGTCGAGACACCCCGCATGATGAGGTGCAAACGAGTGAGTGCCCGGCTGGAGACGGTAGAAATATGCTCCTTCCAAAAAATGCGTGTAACTCCGGTCCCACCCAGCTGTTAAGGGGGAGGATGTGTTGCTGGAATCTATGCAAGGGGAGCTGCAAACAGAATTGGAGGACTTGTGCCTTGCATTTGCGAGGGACACAGGGTGGCCGCCACCCGCAAAGCAAGCAACAACAGCCTCGCCCGCACCACGGCGCCACCGTTGTTACCAAAGTCAGGGAGCAGAACGGGCAAAACGGGCTGAACGGGCTGCGGCGGTGCAATGCACATTTGCCATGAGCTAAGAAGATTTCAGTGGGGACGAGGAGCACTTGGCCCTTGCTGCACCTACTGAGGTGGTGCCACTAGGCCAATTGTTTGTGGCCACAAAGCAAATTATCAAACAACATGTCTCCGGGTACGTCCAGGAGCAATGGGATCTGATTGACCCAGACGGTGCATGCGAAAAAGGACCCCTTGTATACTAGGCTTGAAATAATGGGCGCTGGCCAGTGGTGGCATCAGTTGCACGCCATTTGCTATTTGTGACTGTAGGGAGTGGCGCGTTGGAGAGGGGTTCCTCTAGGATGGGGCATACAGTCCAGCCACATAGGGCCAGCCTCTCTGACCAGAGAATTAGAGAGCGCACCTTCCTTTCTGGCAAACCCGACCTGTACTTTTTTTGGGTTTTGTTGTATGTTTTTCAAGGAATTGTTTTTCAGGTACATTTCATTGGGATAGAAATTTATTGCAATGTAAGCATGCAACTGAAGACAAGCTTTTTACTGCTTCTTGTGTGCTATGTGGGCCTCTCAGGCTCTAATGACTTGGAAGTTCCAATATGGCATGAGTTGCATTTGCTCGTGCATTTGCTCAAGTCATGAAGTCCAGTCTAAAAATTGGCCAGAACTGGATTGGACCGGATTTGATCAGATTGGACCGGATTGGACCGGACTAGACCGGACTGGACCGAGTAGGATTGGAATCCGATCTTGTACGGCCCTGGAATTGGTCCACACCCGGCCTAACCCCGGTGCACACCTGGCCCAACCCCGGTCCACGCCCGGTACCAACCCGGTCCAGAAAGAAAAATCCAGGACCGGACAAAGACTGGGTTGGACCGGGTGGACCGGATTGTACCAGGACCAAGACCGGGACCAGACCGGAACCGGGACCGGGACAAGACTGGGACCAGACCCATACTGGGCTCGGATCCGGTATCGCTCATGGCAGCACCTCCCACGGCCTAGCTCTGGATTCGAGCACCTTCTTATGTTCGTGCAGTGGAAGGACAATGCTCTTTGGTCATCTCCTAGGCACAATGGGAGAAGGTCCATGCCGGGCACTTTGGGTTGAGGAAGACATATCTTCATTTCTGCCAAATGAGTCTGCATCCAACATGCAAGCGGGTGACGGATACAGTGTATTTGTGCAAGGAGTGTTAGTTGTTTCACCAAAAGGCAACCATCCAACCCATTTGGCAGTTGGTGGGTGCCAGAGACACTAGCCCAAGTCATTTGTTTGGATTTTATCGGAACTTTTCTTGAGAGAAATGTTGGAAAAAGAGATTTGTTCGTCATCATGAATGTGTTGACTAAACGAGTAGGGAGGTGGGTGGGGTGAGGGGGGGTGGGGGGGGTGACAACGGGGGTGGGAGGCATAAATGTTGTGTAGGGGCTGAGAAAGTTAACGGCAACACAAAGAGCACCCTTCCATTTTATGCTCTAACATTTGCAAGAGGCTACACAGTCTAGAGATTTGCAAAGGTGGTGCGTGCAAGAGGGGGTAACCCAAGATTACTCTTCCCCCTATCACTACTCCACTATCGGATTTTTTGAGCGGTGCAACCAGACAATTTTGAAATATCTATGGTGCATGTGGGTAGAGAAACCCACATCTGAGGACGGTTGAGTTGGCAATGGAGATCTACAACAACACACCTCTCTCTTCACCCAAGGAGAGCAAGGCAATGCCCAATTCTTTGCGTTTGAATCACCAAACTCATTGTGATGCAGTTTACTGGTGGTTTGGGATTGGTTACACTAGCATGCACGTCTGCAGCGCAAGAGGGGGGCAACCATAGGACCAAGAGGTGGCGGATCTAGTAGATTGTTGAACAAGAGACCGGGATGGCTATGGAACATCAAGATTGAGGCATTGAAGGATAAGCTTGAGCCATTGTGGAAGGTACAAGGACAGCTGATTCGCCTCATCGCAAAAATTGTGCAGCAATTCAGGGGCCAGAGCAGAAACTCTGGATTAGGCACCTGGATATGATTTGGCCATACCGTGATGGAGTTTGAAAGGTTGGAATTTTGTGTCACGTTTGGCTGAAGCACATGAAGGCAAGAGAGATGTACAAGTAATTAGGGAGAATGGCGTTTGCACGGTGAATTGAACATGGTGTTATGTATGGCGAAATGGGGAACAATGGGGAAGGTGCAATGAACAGAACACGCTTGCAATGAATGCTACATGACGAACACAATCCTCTAAGCCCTCTGGTTGCGGCTCGCTCCCCATATATGGGGGCGAGCGTGTGTGAGTGTGCACAAGGAACGCGAACAACGTCTCATAAATAATTGATTTGAAAGTAAATTGGCAATAATGAAATATGTGCCTTGGCAAACTCGTTCTCCCTATCGACTAATTCTAGCGTTCTTGCCTATCATCTAATCTTGCGGTAATTCCCCAACGTCCACACATCCCCAGTGCTCCCACCCCTGTCAATCTACCCGAGTGGCAAATTGACCAACCCCGCTCATTCATTTTTGTTGCGTCTTTCCTTATTTCGATCGCTCTGACAGCTGCATGGATGACAAAACCCAACCAACTGCCTGCGACCCCTGATTGCACGATGGCTGCAACCCAGCACTTCCCATCTCCAACATTCTGCCAATGTTGTGCACTTGTGGACTGCCGTTAGCCGACCTCCGTCTAGTTCAGCCGCAACTTCGTTCGCTGATCGGCATCCAAAACGAAGTCGCCTCCCCACTGCCCGTGTTCACTTGCCAAAATATCCGCAGCTGGCCCATGCCTCGAGCAATAGATTAACTGTCTTCCCAAAGTTGGAATCCCTGCTTCTCTCGCTCAGTGTGGCTCCCCCTGCAACTCTGTGAATATTCGCGATGATGCCATTTGATGCTCTCGTTCCTTTCTCAATTAGGCTCCACCAACCCACCCCGTTCTCCACATAATCCGGGACCTCCTGCCCTCTCCACATAATCCGGGACCTCCTGCCCTCTCCAAGCCTTGCGATGACCGCGATGATGCCATTTGATGCTCTCGTTACGTTCCTTTCTCAATTCGGCTCCACCAACCCACCCCGTTCTCCACATAATCCGGGACCTCCTGCCCTCTCCAAGCCTTGCTATGACCACAGATCTAAGACCGTTGATTGTAGCATCTCTCTATCGCTCTCAATTGCCTTGGCAGACCCGCAATTGCCATGGTGATGTTGCCCTCTCACACTCGCATCACCAGCCTCCCTTACAGCTTGCAAATACCCACATCCGCCTCTCCAACGCTTGCACCCACCTCACTCCAGCGCTCGCATTTTCCTCTCTCTAACACTCACGTCCACCTCTTGTTAACACTTGCAAATAGCCCCACAATTCCACGATCGCCACCATGATGATAGCGACGATCTCGGGCCCCATGTGCAGCTCATCGATCTTTTTCCTGGGAAGGAGAACACATTCAACCAAATGTGGTGCTTGTCCAGTAATCAAGCACTGCCAGCATGTGCACGTTTCCCAACGCTTTTTTAAACCGTCCATTTTCCTCTGCGCGCACGGAGTCGCTCAAAAATTTTCACCAAAGAATTAAATATGTTCCCAAAAGCTTCTTCCAACAATGAACGAAATATCCTTCGAAATTCCAACTCCTTGAGGTACCTTAGCAATACAAGCAGTGGCACATTCGCCCTGCACTTAGCAGTACAAGCAGTGGCACATTCGCCCTGCACTTAGCAGTACAAGCAGTGACACATCCGCCCTGCACTTAGCAGTACAAGCAGTGACACATCCGCCCTGCACTTAGCAGTACAAGCGGTGACACATCCGCCCTGCACTTAGCAGTACAAGCGGTGACACATCCGCCCTGCACTTAGCAGTACAAGCAGTGGCACATTCGCCCTGCACTTAGCAATTATAAACTGCCATGTTCTTTATACCCCGCTCGCTTCTTACGTTCCTTCCTCTCTTTGCGAGCGCCCTAATCAGGGGTCCACCCACCATTCCCCGTCAGCTTCCTCCAGAGTGGGGGAAACGGCGAATCATCCACAACACCCTAATGCTGGTGTACGCCTCTCTGCAGCGTTCACATGCGTTTCTCTCCAACGCCCACACCAGCCTCACCAGCGCCCACAGGCGCATCGTTTTCTAGTGCTTGCGATTGCCCCGCAGATCTACAATCGCCACGGCGATGTTGTCCTTGGAACCCCGATCTAAGGCAGCCTTGATGAGCACCCTGCCTGCCAGGCTCACGCACATCTGCTGGCCCATGTCGCTCGCTTCGGCGCGCTGGAAGCACTTGTGGATCAGGCTGACCGCTTCGTTGTCGGTGAGGACGTCCCACAGTCCGTCACTGGCCAGGACCAAAAAATCATCTTCCGGGCTGGCCTCAATGAGCGTGACCTGTGTGGAAAACGAAACGGCGCGTTGGTGACGCTGTTGAAGCACATGTCAAAACCCCAGTCACGCTCAGGCAGTAGGATATGGACATGTCACGTGATACGTTACTGATGTGCGATTTTATAAGTACAACAGCGATGATGAGGATGACGGTAGCATGGAGACGGCGTGCGTATGCAAGTTAACGAGTACCCAAATGATGGTGATGATGATGGTGATGATGATGTAACACGGTGCCATCTTTAAATAAGTTATCTAATTTAATTATGCAGCAGCGTTGTTTTTGCACGTTAATACAATCGTGCCTTTTAAATCCCTCACCTCTGGCTCTGCGATGATGCCAAAGTTGCTGAGGCAGTGGTCCCCAAGGGCGCGCGACATGGCCAGCACCCCCATCACCCTACTGCCGCCGTAGTTCAGGACCTCTCCACCACATGCCTTTATCCTCGCCTGGGCAAAAAGTAGGATTTTTTATTGCCTGCTGTCTAATTTCAATCAATCGCTGGGCTCGGAATTCGCTGCGCTCTCCAGTGGTCGAATTGTACACGTGCCTCCAAAGTATCCCTGAACTGAAAATGCTCAAAACCAGCCAATTACCACGGCAATTGGGAGCTTGGCTGAGTATTCGATCAAGACATGTCTAGCCATCTATCATCCACCCAAGAATCACCTGAGCTAGAAGTACCAAAAGCAGAAAACAATTCACTGCAGTCGACTTGTACTATAGTGTAAAAAGGCATTTAATGAACCAAAACATTGCCAAAGAATCAGTCTCCACCTCCTCATCTTCAAGGTCGGGTTTGTGGTCCCTGCTCAGTCTGTATGCAGCCCCGCCCCTCGACAGCACCGCCCGCGAGTCCCCACAGTTGGCCACGCAAAGGTGCGACCCGCTGACCAAAGCGACGACCGCTGTTGACCCAACGTCCCGTGCCATGCCGCTCTCCTGCAGTTGCCCATCCATGAGGCGAAAGGCCCGGCCGATTGCACTTGACACCTGGGGCAGGGTCAAGCCCCAGCGATGGTCGTCTTTGGGTCGCCCTGTCGCATCGCCCTGGCCTTGTCTTGTCACATCGTCCCCTTGTGTTGTCCCACCAACACACGCCACCAGCGATGTCGCCATCAGTGCGCCGAACGCCTCCCTCACGTGCAGGTGAAGGTTCTCCGCGACCTGCAGAGGCACAACACATATGAGGCAAAGCACTGCTAACTAGGAAATCAACAAACAAATAAGAAACAAGCTGCGCTGATTTACTTTTGCTTGGAACATTTGTTGAGCGATGCACACCATGCAGGTTGCAAACCGGGACACAAGCGAGGTTCTGTGTTGCATTCTGTCCCCGATGCGCTCGAAGACTTCTGCATCATTTTCGTCCACAGAGTGGAAGAGAGCCTCAAAACAATTCTTGCCCAGGATGGGGGAGGACATCATGACACATTTTCCTTTCTGTTGAAAAGGCAAACCCTCACCTGCCGTGCAACCTCTGGCCCTCCATGCCCATCGTAAACCCCTGCGAAATGAAACTGCACCTCCGCATGCCTGAGCCCCTGAGCACCAGCTCCTGATGGAAACCCCGTCAAGGTCGACCTTGGGGATGCGCAGCCATCCTCCCACAGAGCCCACAGCCCCTTTTCCTTTCCCAGAGCCACTGGCACGACCCTGTCTCCCGGCTGGAACACCAGGGGCACTTGCACCAGATTGCCCACAACGACTCCATAGTCCTCCATCGACTCTCGCAGTCCCTGAGAGTTCCTGTACGCGATGGCTGGGGATGACCATTTGTCAGCCACCGAATGGAAGGGCACTGGCACGGGCCGAAATCTGCTCGCCCTGGCAAGCCCAGGAGATTTCTCATCGGTCACCACATTGTGCATCTCCATATCTGTCCCTGAGGGTGAAAACACATAAGTGCGGATCAGTCTGGGTCTGGGAATTTCTCAAACAACTCTGCATCTCTGTGTCCATACCCAAGCAAGGAAATCAAAGGGAAATCAAAGGGAGGGTCTAGGGACGATGCTCCCAGTAGGGCCGATTGGATGTCCCCAACGGAAAAAGACAGCATGACTAATAGGGGGGGGCGCATCGCTGCATCCGTTCCTGAGCGATGGAACACAGCAGGGTGGGTCAGAGCACAGCAAAGAGCGGCAGCTCTGTTGCGTGCTCTCTTGCTGCACCTGGAGACATCTTAGTCTGTTTCATAGCGTGGAGAAGAGACTCGCAAGCAATAGTTGCCCACGATGGGGTTGTCCATCGTGCGGATTTTTTTTGCTTTCCGTCACAAGGAATCTTGCATTGCCCAGAGATTTGCGGCATCCCCAGAAAAGGGCTGGTGAGATGCTCCCATCTCAAAGGGAACGAAGAATGAAGGCAAGACGGCATGCGCCCATGCGTCCCAGGTGCCTACAAGCGCAAGTCCAGGGTGTATCATTGTCACGCACCGTTGACCGAGCCAGCGGCCGCGACCAGCTCCGCGGAGTTGGGCATGAATAGGGTCGTCAGGGGAGGCAGCGCGGGGCCGCCTCCCGCCGCCGTTGTCTCCACTCCTGGGCTCATGGCTTCCTGCACCTGGGTGGGGAGAAAAACGGAACAGTGTCGGAACAGGACTTTGGCGAAGTGCTTCCCATCGGGCGGCGACGAAAATCGGCGAGCCGTCCAGGCGCCCACCCGGATCGCATTGCACGCGGGCAAGCGCAGCCCAGAGCCACTTGAACAAAGCACGGAATTATACACAAACAGCTTGGAGCCCTCTTCTTTTGAGAACATCCGCCGAGATCAGCAACCCTCCTCTGACGCATTTCCGTCGGGCGACAGCCGGATTCAGCGAGCCATGTTGCACGAGGCAAGAACCATCACCCCTAGTGCGCGGTAATCGATGATCGACAGTCGACCATCGGCCACGCATCAAGGCGGACGCGGGCAGGCGGGGAATGTCTCGTGCAGCTTCACGAACCACCGCTGCGCCACGTTGTCCGAAAGCGGCTGGGCCCCTGGGTTCCCAGCAAGCGGGCCGAGCCAGATGCCCCCATGCAGCAGCCCGTGGATCGGAAAGCACAGGCGGCAGCGGCCGCAAAATCTCTCCAAGAGGCCGCACGGCTCCCCGCCCGCGACCTGCAAATCAGCAGTACGACTTTGCGACGTTGCGATGACCCAGGTCGTCCCACCTTTGCAACGGCCCCCTTGGCCTCCAGCCTCACAACGCAAGCGATTCGCCTCTCCCTCCCTCTTGCCAACCCCGCAGCAGAGCGGAGACCACCGCGGCCGGGAACTTCCACCACGCCGACAATTTCCTGCTGCGCTCCCCAGCGGCGCCCTTTTATCCCTCCGTCCACCGCCGCCCTGCAGGGGTTCACACGGCAAAGTTCCAGCGGATGTTCCAACTGCGAGTTTGCTCGGACAAGAGGTGTCCGCTGACTCGACCGCGCCGCCGCTTTGCGGTGGCTTCCCCTGTACGACTGGGCGACCGTACGGGTCGGGCCGCCAACGCCCAAGGGCCCGCGGGGATGACATCCCCAACAGGTCACAGCCTGGGTGCCCTGTCTCCGCCGTCACGTTGGACAGTGCGACTCGGAATGCGTCAAATTCCTGTCACACGCCCACCGCCCCGGCGCCGCTGACTCTGCAGCGGCGGTACGCGGGGGGGCGGCCTTGGTTACGTGTACCGGGGCTGGTGGGTAGGTCGTACTGGCGGGGACCTACCGAATACACGGGTGGACCTACCCACCAGCCCCCGGCGGTACGCGGGGGGGCGGCCTTGGTTACGTGTACCGGGGCTGGTGGGTAAGTCGTACTGGCGGGGACCCTCCGAATACACGCGCGGACCTACCCACCCAGCCCGTTACCATAGCCGCCCCCCGCGTACCGCCGTTGCAGAGTCAGCGGCGCCGCGTGGGCATGTCACAGGAATTTGACCCATCCCGAAGCCGGCCTGTCAACGTGACGGCGGAGACAGGGCGCCCAGGCTGTCACCTGTCGGAGATGTCGTCCCCGCGGCTCCCCGTTGCGCGTTGGCCGCCCGACCCGTACGGTCGCCAAGTCGTACAGGGGAAGCCACCGCAAAGCGGCGGCGCGGTCGAGTCAGCGGACGCCTCTTGTCCGAGTAAGCTCGCAGTTGGAACATCCGCTGGAACTTTGCCGTGTGAACCCCTGCAGGGCGGCGGTGGACGGAGGGATAAAAGGGCGCCGCTGGGGAGCGCAGCAGGAAAGTTTCGGCGTGGTTGAAGCTCCCGGCTGCGGTGGTCTCCGCTCGGCTGCGGGGTTGGCAAGCGGGAGGGAGAGGCGAATCGCTTGCGGCGTGAGGCCGGAGGCCAAGGGGGTCGTTGCAAAGGTGGGACGACCTGGGTCATCGCAAGGCCGCAATGTCGTACTGCTGATTTGCAGGGCGCGTGTGGGGAGCAGTGCGGCCTGTTGGGGGAGATTTTGCGGCCGCTGCCGCCTGTGCTTTCCGATCTCCGGGTTGTTGGATGGGGGCATCTGGCTCGGCCCGCTTGCTGGGAACCCAGGGGGCCAGCCGCTTTCGGACAACGTGGCGCGGCGGTGGTTCGAGAAACTGCACGAGACATTCCCCGCCTGCCCGCGCCAGCCTGGATGCGTGGCCGATGGTCGACTGTCGATCATCGATTACCGCGCACTAGGTGTGATGGTTCTTGCCCGGTGCAACATGGCCCGCTCAATGCGGCTGTCGCCCGACGGAAATGCGTCAGAGGAGGGTTGCTGATTTCGGCCGATGTTCTCAGAAGGAGAGGGCTCCAAGCTGTTGGTGTATAATTCCGTGCTTTTGTCAAGTGGCTCTGGGATGCGCTTGCCCGCGTGCAATGCGATCCGGGTGGGCGCCTGGGCGAGTCGTCGATTTTCGTCGCCGCTCACCAGCCCTTTTTGGGGATGCCCCAAGTCTCTGGGCTGTGCAAGATTCCTTGCGACGGAAAGCAAAAAGATACCGCACAATGGGCAGCCCCATCGTGAGCAGCTATTGTTTGCGAGTCTCTTCTCCATGCTATGAAACAGACTAAGATGTCTCCAGGTCCAGCAAGAGAGCGCGCAACAGAACTGCCGCTCTTTGCTCTGCTCTGGCCCACCCTGCTGTGTTCCCTCGCTCAGGAACGGATGCAGCGATGCGCCCCCCTTTTAGTCATGCTGTCTTTTTCGATTGGGGACATCCATTCGGCCCTACTGGGAGCATCATCCCTAGACCCTCCCTTTGATTTCCCTTTGATTTCCCTTTGATTTCCCTTTGATTTCCTTGCTTGGGTATGGACACAGAGATGCAGAGTTGTTTGAGAAATTCCCAGACCCAGACTGATCCGCACTTATTTGTTTTCACCCTCAGGGACAGATATGGAGATGCACAATGTGGTGACCGATGAGAAATCTCCTGGGCTTGCCAGGACGAGCAGATTTCGGCCCGTGCCAGTGCCCTTCCATTCGGTGGCTGACACATGGTCATCCCCAGCCATCGCGTACAGGAACTCTCAGGGACTGCGAGAGTCGATGGAGGACTATGGAGTCGTTGTGGGCAATCTGGTGCAAGTGCCCCTGGTGTTCCAGCCGGGAGACAGGGTCGTGCCAGTGGCTCTGGGAAAGGAAAAGGGGCTGTGGGCTCTGTGGGAGGATGGCTGCGCATCCCCAAGGTCGACCTTGACGGGGTTTCCATCAGGAGCTGGTGCTCAGGGGCTCAGGCATGCGGAGGTGCAGTTTCATTTCGCAGGGGTTTACGATGGGCATGGTGGGCCAGAGGTGGCACGGCAGGTGAGGGTTTGCCTTTTCAACAGAAAGGAAAATGTGTCATGATGTCCTCCCCCATCCTGGGCAAGAATTGTTTTAAGGCTCTCTTCCACTCTGTGGACGAAAATGATGCAGAAGTCTTCGAGCGCATCGGGGACAGAATGCAACACAGATCCTCGCTTGTGCCCCGGTTTGCAACCTGCATGGTGTGCATCGCTCAACAAATGTTCCAGGCAAAAGTAAATCAGCGCAGCTTGCTTCTTATTTGTTTGTTGATTTCCTAGTTAGCAGTGCTTTGCCTCATATGTGTTGTGCCTCTGCAGGTCGCGGAGAACCTTCACCTGCACGTGAGGGAGGCGTTCAGCACCCTGATCGCGACATCGCTGGTGGAATGTGTTGATGGGACAGCACAAGGGGACGATGTGACAAGACAAGGCCAGAGCGACGCGACAGGGCGACCCAAAGACGGCCATCGCTGGGGCTTGACCCTGCCCCAGGTGTCAAGTGCAATCGGCCGGGCCTTTCGCCTCATGGATGGGCAACTGCGGGAGAGCGGCATGGCACGGGACGTTGGGTCAACAGCGGTCGTCGCTTTGGTCAGCGGGTCGCACCTTTGCGTGGCCAACTGTGGGGACTCGCGGGCGGTGCTGTCGAGGGGTGGGGCTGCATACAGGCTGAGCAGGGACCACAAACCCGACCTGGAAGATGAGGAGGTGGGCACTGATTCCTTGGCAATGTTTGGTTCATTAAATGCCTTTCTACACTATAATACAGGTCGACTGCAGTGAATTGTTTTCTGCTTTTGGTACTTCTAGTTCAGGTGTTTTTTGGATGGACGATAAATGGCTGGACACGTCTTGATTGAATACTCAGCCAAGCTCCATATTGCAGTGGTAATTGGCTGATTTTTAACATTTTCAGCTCGGGGATACTTTGGAGGCACGTGTGCAATTCGACTACTGGAGAGCGCAGCGAATTCTGAGCCCAGCGATTGATTAAAATTAGACAGCCGGCAATAAAAAAAATGTGCTTTTTGCCCAGGCGAGGATAAGGGCATGTGGAGGGGAGGTCCTAAACTACGGCGGCAGTAGGGTAATGGGGGTGCTGGCCATGTCGCGGGCCCTTGGGGACCACTGGCTCAGCGACTTTGGCATCACCGCAGAGCCAGAGGTGAGGGATTAAAAAGCCACAATTGTATTAACGTGCAAAAACAATGTTGCTGCATTATTAAGTTTGGAAATTAGATAAATTATTTAAAGATGGCACCATGTTGCATGATCGTAATCACCACCATTTGGGTACTCATCAACTTGCATACGCACGCCGACTCCACGCTAAGGTCATCCTTATCATCGCTGCTGTGCTTATCATCAATGTACCTGGTATCGGCCTACATTTTAAATGTACACAAACTCGCAAAAAAATTTTGGCAAATGTCCAGATCGCCATAGATCGTTTATAAAGTCGTACGTCAGCAACATGTCACGTGACATGTCGATATCGCATTGTCTGAGCGTGACTGGTTTTCTGACATATGCTTCACGAGCATCACCAACGCGCCGTTTCGTTTTCCACACAGGTCATGCTCATTGAGGCCAGCCCGGAAGATGATTTTCTAATCCTGGCCAGTGACGGACTGTGGGACGTCCTCACCGACAGCGAAGCGGTCAGCCTGATCCGCGAGTGCTTCCAGCGCGCCGAAGCGAGCGGCGCGGACCAGCAGATGTGCGCGAGCCTGGCAGGCAGGGTGCTTATCAAGGCTGCCTTGCATCGGGGCTCCAGAGACAACATCACCGTGACGATTGTGGATCTGCGGGGCAACTGCAAGCACTAGA